CCTTTACTCGTTTCGGTTCCAGGCTGCGTGGCCCTATTTCTGATTCTAACACAGCCACAATTTCACATGATCAGCCATGCCAGGAGATTTTGGTGCAAGCCAGTGGAAACAATGTGAAAACGAAACCGATCTCATGAGATCTGTCATTCAAAATGGAAGAAGCTTCCAGATCAGCCCATTGCTACCATCTGGAGAGGGCCCAAATTACATGAGTCCGTAGCTTTAAGACAGTCCCTGCCCAAAGGTGCTCTACCTAATTAGCTCTCTTGTTAAGTCTATTGGAAACGTATTTATGGGGATTCCTCTATGCAATGAAATTGTGAGTCCTGAATAATTGTTTATAGAATTCTAGAGCTAACAACTTGGGGAGGAGGGATAGCTCAGTGGTTTGAGCATTGGCCTGCTAAACCCAGGGTTGTGAGTTCAATCCATGATGGGGGCCATTTAGGGATTTGGGGCAAAAATCTGTCTGGGGAGTGGTCCTGTTGGACTAGAACCTCCTGAGGTCCCTTCTAACGCTGATATTCTATGAAGGATTCCAGATTGACAGGCCTTGAAACCAATGGCCTTTAGCCACAGACTAGCCACAATAATGGCACTAACAGAATCATCAGAACAAGCTTCCCTGATACTGTACAGTCAAAATGCCCCAGTCCTACCTCCAAGGGACCAGCTCCAAGGGCCAATAGAGAGTTCAGGGTTCTTTTCAACTTCCAATAAGGAGGCTAGTTATCTTCTGCAGGCACCTGCCCACTAAGAACTCAGCTAACACCACCTATTTGTTTCCCCCAGGCCACCCATTTCTTGGGGCCTGTGGCTTCAACAAAGACAATCTCTTAGTCCAATGCAGACGTTCTCTCCCCTTCTAGCAACACACAATTTCCCTGCTAAACTCCAGCAGCGTCGCTGGTTCCTCCACCTGTCTGCTTAGTTCAGAAACAACTGGGCAGATGTTTCCGACATTTGGAGGGGCACAACATGACTTTCTCTCAATACGTCTCTTGACTTGGATCCAAGACTGTTTCAACTCTTTTCCCACCCACCCCCACTCTAACACTCCTTGCTATTACGAACTATTCTTGCTGATGGAGGCTTTTGCCTCCGTAGCTGCCGATAGAGACCTCATCAAATCATGCAGTAGTACAACCAGATGGATATTTGGAAACTTGAAAGGGGCACAATCGATGTCAAAAAACAGGAAATTTGACCTGCCTTGTTGCTTTTTCTACATCTTTTTGCAACATCCTTGGAATGTTTTGTATTTTGAATGTATGTTTTTTGTTTGTTTAGCACTTGATTCAATGCTATGTTGTCTAAAATTAGAGTCCCAGCACCCAGAAAAACATACAGAAAAAACCAGTCAATGGGCACTGCCCAGCCCTCAGGAGAAACCCTACACTAAACAGATCAGCCCTGTTAAGCCTGGCACTCGTTCACAACCTTCCAATAGCGGACAAGCATGTGCACACAATAGGAGAGATGAAAATCGGTAAGGTAGCAAGTTTCAGGTTCACGCTTCCAATGGGGAAAGATGGTCTTATGATTAAGGGTACGTCTACACTACCCGCCGGATCGGTGGCAGCGATCGATCCAGCGGGGATCGATTGATCATGTCTAGTCTAGACGCGATCAATCGCTCCCCGAGACCTCTCCCATCGACTCCTGTACTCCAGCGCCACGAGCGGCACAAGCAGAGTCGACAGGGGAGCAGCAGCAGTTGACTCACCGCGGTGAAGACACCATGGTAAGTTAGGGTGACCAGACATCCCGATTTTATAGGGACAGTCCCGATTTCTGAGTCTTTTTCTTATATAGGCTCCTATTACCCCCCACCCTGTCCCAATTTTTCACATTTGCTGCCTGGTCACCCTACAGTAAATCGATCTAAGTATGTCGACTTCAGCTACGTTATTCACGTAGCTGAAGTTGCGTAACTTAGATCGATTCCCGCCCCTCCAGTGTAGACCAGGGCTAAGATATCATCCTGGGACTCAGGAAGTCTGGCTTCAATTCAGTTCTAATTCTATCCGGCAGAGGCCAGTGGTGTACACATACTCAATTTTCATTATAGTATAATAACAGTTTGCACGTCTATAGCACCTTTCATCCAAGAACTTCAAAGCACTTTAAAAACATTAATTAAGCTCCAGAAAGTCGCTGTGTGGTAGGTGTTATCTTTATTTTGCTGCTCGAGGAAAGGTGGTGCAGCGAAGCTATAGTTGCACAGGGAGACTCTGGCAGAGACTGGAGTAGAACCCAGGAGTCCTGACTCTCATCTAACCAATGGGCTAGACATCTTCCCCAAAGGAGAACTATTTAAGGTGCTTGTTATAGGCTTGGTCTACACTAAACCCCCAAATCGAACTAAGGTACGCAACTTCAGCTACGTGTATAACGTAGCTGAAGTCGACATACTTAGATCGATTTACTGTAGGGTGACCAGGCAGCAAATGTGAAAAATTGGGACAGGGTGGGGGGTAATAGGAGCCTATATAAGAAAAAGACTCAGAAATCGGGACTGTCCCTATAAAATCGGGATG